TGAGGAAACCTCGAGGAGCTGAAATAAAAAATAAGGGTCCGTATTTAAAAAAATTAAGTTGATGATGGTGGCCCAAAGACGAGACGTCAGATTTTAAATATGATGGTACCATCTTGTAATAAGAAAAAAGTGACAATGATGAAGTGACACTGCTCTTCAAATTTCAAAACGGCCTTTCATTGGTCATGAACTTGCACAACTTGGCCATAATTTAACCACTTTTAACCAACCTCGTAAAGTCCAACAAATACCATTTTAAAGTCACGTGATTTTTCTCTATCCTTGTTGAATACATCTTAAACAGCGGTGATAGTAAAATTGAAAAAAAAATTGATGTCTAATTATTGTTCATATTATTCTTACCTGAAATAGAATCCGTCACTGTCATCAATTAGTTTGTCAAAGTTATTTTCGAAAATGATATAACGAACAAACACAGCTAATAATTTTGACTATATTAACCTTTTTTCAACTCGAAAAGAAGCAAATAGAAAACGGGTACCCATTTCCAGTTTAGAATGTATTACAACGGACAGCAGATGCGACAAAAGTGAGTCTCGCAACAATTGCAAGTATTAAAATTCCCATCTGATTGGTCAATACTACTTCAGAAACGCGTTTGTAAAATGCTAGTGGGAACATATCCTAAAATTCAAAAGTAATTAACACCAGTAGCTTTTTGTAGGTGATATCAACGACATAATCAATGAACATACGTTTTTTTCCCACCCAATATCACGTGACTTTAATATGGTATTTGTCGGATTTTATCTCTAATAGTTTCCGATATCTCATTGCTCACCCTCGAATTTGGGACACCCTGTATACAAAACTCTTTTCATGTCAAGGACATAAATGTGAATACAATGAATCTATCAATAACTCAAATCGCGGAGCAAGTAGCGATGACGAATACGAAGAGACGCCTGTATATTTTAAAACATTTCAAATGTTGTGAATAATTGCTTTTCAACTTTAAATTATGCGCATGCGCAGTCTATCATCTATCTCGTGGTTGTTTTTTCTCTTTTTTGATATGTTCCTACATAAATAAAAACAAATTAGGGACAGATCTAACAACGGTACCACTAAACAATCATATTTAATGAATAATAAAAATTGAAAATGAGGTAATGACATTTATGTCAACTGCGCGGCACTGACACATTTTATAGCGTTCCGGCTGAAAACAGTTACACCTTAGGGCATTAGAATTTCTTCAAAAAAAACCGCTTGCTTGCATACCGAAAAAGCACACGGGAATACAAACCAGACCGGACTAATAACATTGTAGTTACTGATGTAAATATTGGAGGAAAATACCTTGTTGCGGAAATAACCCACAACATGTTTAATTTTTATTATTTCTAATTTAATATAATTTTCGTCTCTATTATTTACCATTGAAATAATATTCTAAAAATATGTAGATGCTATTGCTGGACTATTCATCCTGTAAAACCGGCAACAACAGCCCTTTGAACCAATAAAAATGCAGGATTCCTTTATTGCCTTATAAGGTAGTGAACATTTCTCGCCGCTGTGATTGGTCAGCCGCTGCACAAATTCCTCGTTTTCGCGACCTGCTCCCTGGCAGACCGTAGTCGACGCAGTCGGTCGGTCGATGCATATTCTTCAGTACTATTAGAATAAGCAATAAGTTCGCGCCCTCCGATGCTCTCCAGAAGCAAAACCCCGTTATTACGCGCGATTTATAGTAAAATACTACTCTCTCTGTCTCAAGGCCTGACATGGTCTATATTATTGTTTACAATTCATGTCATTAATCCCTAATTGTTGCAAGTCACCTCGGACGAGCGAAATTCTCTCGTACGCGCTTGTTTTTGGCTCTCTCTCTCAGTCTCGCCGGTCTCCAACGTATATCCTTGTGTTTTCACCTCAGTGGAAAATTCCCAGGCTGCCTGTTTATAGGGAAAAATGGATAAATAATCGCATGAACCGGATTAAGCAAGTAAGACAGTTACAATTTCTCTAACAGTCGAACAATAAATACTGATTAGTGATTCACTTGAAATACACTAAAAATTTAAGTGTCTTCTAACGCTTACGCAGAAATTTGTTTACACACTCGTGAACTTAACATTTGTACATTTGTATATAGTAACTGAGACTAGATAAATACTTTTCTCTTCGAACATTAAATAATACATTCATTCTTGCTCGATATTAAACTGATTAATGATACGAATTCTACACGCCCCGTGGATAATAATTGGAATCCACGGCCTATCGACCAATCAAATTCTCCGTATTTTCGGAATACACCTCTATGGAATACACGGACCGCAACGAGACAATACAAACAAAACATGACTGACGTCTACTGTCAGATCACGAAACTTTCAATTTAAAAAAATTAAGGCGGGTTCAGACTTTTGATGATTGTTATTTCTTACAAAAACTAATGATTTTCTTTCAAAGAGTTCGAAGAGAAAGTATAGTCTTCTACTCGCATATAATGGCTATTATTTGCTCGTTGAATAATATACTATTCTTGCACATATTGTTAACAGACTCCCGCAGAAAAGTGCTCAAATTGTTAACTCTCAATAAATCAAAGAACTTTCAAGGATCAATAAACATTTTGTGATTGCACTGAACTGATTAAAGTTGACGAATTATTTATGTTGTGCTGTCGGGCATTTGATTAGTTAATTTGTGTTTTCGTTCATTTAATATTTAACCATAAATGATATTATTATCATTATCAGATTTCCCTACCTTTTATAAATCAAGATACTTACTTTAGTTTGGTATAAAATTTGTAGTTCGACTAGACGTCCAATAAGGAATGTTTAGATAGGATTTCATTGCTAACTATACCGAAGAGTGTTGCCAGGGTGCTTTCATAAAGAGTAACAGATTCGTCTTAAAAATGGTAATAGATTTAAAAAAATGGTAATAGATTTTTTTACAGCTGGCGCCACAATATGGGAGTTCATGTAACCTTTTTTTTTTATCATAAATAAATATCTAATATTTGAGATTAACTTTTAATAGTGTTATTCTTCTATAAAAAATAAAACTCGAGATTCGTGAAAAAAATTAGAGCATAGCTTAAAATGACATTTTTACATATAAATATGTCATTTTAGGCTACAGTTGATGTTAAACCTCCCTAATATGGTCGGTGCAAACCAAGGATGATACACACCAAAGATGATACACACTACTACTGCAGGATGGCCTATCCTCATAAGACCTGTGTGTAACAAATCCCCCCCGCCAAATTACCAGCTGTGACGTAGGCAACATGTTATTGTTGTTGATGTAGGCTTTTTAAACAGCTGACGACTTAGTTATGACGTCGGAAATGGTAACACACCAATATGGCGGCGATTACCAAAAATGAGGCCGATAAGCACTCCTTAGAATATTTATTCTCCTTGGATACACACTACTGTGTACTAGTATAGGGTAACCTGCCTATTCTCACAAGGCCTGTGTCCTGTGTGGTAAATCCTCATTTTTCTCGAAAGAAGTAATGACGTCATTTTTTAAAAGGTTCAAAACAGATTTCAAAAACATTTTGAACCGCTGGGGTCGAGAACAAACACATTTAGTTATGACTTCGGAAATGGTGACTCACCAATATGGCGGCAATTACCAAAAACGAGGCTGATAAGCAATCCTGTAGTGTAGGTATGTGTTATCCTTGGGTGCGAACGGCCATAAACTAGATATATATTTGGACAGGCCCTACGATTCTCACCTTAAAACTATAAAAATGAACTTAGAACTTCTTTTGAGATATAAAAAATAAATATCTTTTATTATTCGAGCAGAAAATGCATAACAAAATATATAAAAAAAGGTAATAGAATTTTTAAAAAGGTAAAAAGGTAATGAACTCCTCTAAAAAGTAACATATCTGTTACAATTGTAATAGACTGGCAACACTGATACCGAATTACTCTCATTTATTAATTAAATTGATAACTATTTTCTTTCAGCGTTTTATTTGTATAAATGAGAATCAAGGCAACCCCTAACCCATAATACAAGGCTTAAATGATCCAATACCTAGTGGTTAATTATCAGTCAAAGTAAAAAAATTTGGCATCCCTGGTGCGGTTTGACTCAAGCCCAGAAAGGGGCAATAGCTAGTTACGTCACACAAGACTCTAAGCTGAACTGAAGTCTGAACTGATTCCAAAATTCCGAAAGCGATGTTTTTATATTTTTCGATCCCCAAAAAAATTTCGCGTCATGTACATTTATTAACTTTCCTCTTTTCTAAGAAATATGATTATTTGTCTAAAACCGTATATGTCGCAATTTCCTGGATTTTGCGGAGGACAGCTAATTCAAAGAAAAGCCGCAATCGTGCCGGCCGTAAATCATGACTTTATTATAATTCTGTCACTTTGGGACCCAATTTAATTACTTTTGCCTTGATTTTAATATTTTTATGGATTTGATTTATGAGTTTAATGTGATGACACACACTTGGTGACTAACTATTAAAATTTGAACGTATTTTATATATTCCAATTAATTTGGATCAGTGCTAATTTGTTTCATTATTTTTCAATTTTATTGATATCGGAGATTCAATTTAAGATTATTTGATAACATGTAAATTTACTGTTTTTGTATTTTGAGTCCTTGTTAACTACGGGTCTATTTTTCCCAGGTCATTACAGCAGCATCTGATTGGACTTGGAATAGCGCAACTTTTTTCCCAGTTGACCAAATCTGTATCTCTTACCGTTTCCGCAATTCCCATGTAGTTACTTTTATGTGGGACACCGTGTATAATTTGATTGAAAATCACCAAATTGTTATGTATTCGAGACCACAACAAGATGCCTATAAGCCAACTAATGACAAACTATTCATTTATTAATTTTAATAATATTCGTGTGAGAATAACGTTCCCCAAAATAATATAAGAAATCGGTACTACCAACTAAATTACTCCCCAACTATTGAATCATTTCCAATACAATGTTGATTTACCGAGTTATTCTTTTCAGATTTATTTTGTGGACCACAACAGCCGCACAACACAGTTCACGGATCCACGTTTAAATTCGCAAATTCTCAAAAACATTTTAAAAAGAGTTACACCTCCGACTAGTCAACCAACCACTAATACTCCCCCTATACCAGTGATCAGCCAACCACCGTTAAGCGTGAACACAGCCACAACTACTGTCCCTCCCACAACTAGTTTATTGGCACCTCAAAATCCAGCCCCAGTGTCGCCCCGATCCAGAGTACACGAAGATTTGCCTCAAGGGTTGTTGAGTGAAAGCGAGCATTTGCCTAAATACCGACGAGATTTAGTAGCTAAACTCAAAGTATTGAGAGCCGAATTGACTGCCCTTCAACCTCAAAGCGGGCATTGCAGGTTGGAGGTTTCCAGGACCGAAGTTTTCGAGGAGAGTTACAGACTAATAATGAAAATGCGACCAAAAGATATGCGTAAAAGGCTTATGGTAAAATTTCGCAGCGAAGAAGGTTTAGATTATGGAGGCATCGCCCGAGAGTGGTTGCATCTACTGTCCAGAGAAATGCTAAACCCCCAATATGGTCTGTTTCAATATAGCAGAGATGATCATTATACTTTACAAATAAATCCCGACTCTTCAGTCAACCCAGAGCATTTATCTTATTTCCATTTTGTTGGAAGAATTTTGGGCATTGCTGTGTTTCACAATCATCAGTTGGAAGGAGGGTTTACTTTGCCTTTTTATAAACAGCTTTTAAATAAACCTATAACACTGCAGGACATTGAGGGTGTAGATCCGGAATTGCATAGAAGTCTTACTTGGATGCTGTAAGTGATTTTTTTTTAAAAATTTCAATCTGATTCCTAATTATCATTTTATTACAGGGAAAATAATATCGATGGTATACTGGATACGACATTCTCAGTGGAAAATAATAGTTTCGGGGTTGTTAAGGTTCATGAATTAAAACCTGGAGGATCGTCTATACCGGTAACTGAGGACAATAAAAGGGAATATGTCAAGTTGTATGTTAATTATAGGTAAGTCAGTCTATATCTATGTATGTATTGAATAATCTACAACCATGGGTCTAAAGTTCATTCCACGAAGTGAGATAGCAGATGTAAACAAACAGGCGGAGCTTAAAAATTCAGAGAAGGACTGCAAAAATATGAATTACAACTAATGACATTTATTATTGTCAGGTTGTCATATGAGTCAATAAGCTTAATGTCGTATTTACTAGTATTTTACAATTATTTAAATATTGTTTGATGAATTATTGTTAATTAGTGAGCAATTTAGATTAAAACAATATCAAGTTAAACAGATTCCGCTGAAGAATTCGTTCGGAAATATATTCAGAGAAGTGTAGATCATGGTCGTTTATCCCGGTTGCCAAATTTTCAAAAAGATCCGCTTTTTAGTTCTCCATAAACGTCCAATACGCCATCCACCGTGAGACACCCTGTATTTTCTGAGCTTTATATGTTTCTACTAATACGTACAATAAGTTTCGCTTATGCGGCTATAAGTTTTTTTCGTTAATTTTTTGCTGTAATTGTAACCCTTCGTAACCCCCTATCATGTTGGTGCGCCGGCAGACGTTCATATTATGTACTCATCATATACTACACGTATAACACATACTCGAAAACTGTTAGAGATAAACCTATCGAAATTTATATCATTTAAATCAGCAAAAACAAAGCTATCCAATGATCTATTAATATATAGGGTATTTCATTTGAAAATATCGGACTTTGGTCGATATCTCGAAATCGGAGCGATATAGAAAAAAACTGAGTCCGCCACTGGATTGTGCTTAAAAAAGTGTCTTCATAATGTTTTTACAGGAATAAAAAAAATTGATAAATAAAAAACTTATAGCTTTTTTTCATAATAGGGGAAAATCGAAAATCGCCCTGTATCAGTAGTACCATTGAAGATATCGTGATACGGTTTTTGGCAATCGACGTTTCTCGAAAATTAATCCCATGGCACCTAAGTCAATTTTCCTCTTTCTGGTCTGGAAGTATGTTTTTCTTGTTAAAACACTCCAAATTTGCATCCTATGCAAATCTCCTTCTTCAAATATTACAACTTTTTTTTGAAACTGTCAATGCAAAACCAATAATTGCAGGAGATCTCAACTTAGATTTTGGCGACCCAGAAGTTCAGTCCATCATTTTGCTGAATAACTTGTTGGAATCATTTAACCTTTGAATGCACGTCAAAACCCTAAGAAGGACATTCACTATAATTGATTATGTGTGTTCTAATTTTGACTGTAATATTTAATTTAATGTGGAGGATCCAGTTATATCTGACCATCAGGCAGTTGTCGCCACACTGTCCCCTACACATAGTCAGATGCCTTGGTAGAATCTTTAGGAAAAATAATTAACCGTTTCTGTATTGTAACCGCACTTCTGGGAACTACTTTTTAACCTATCGTCAAAATAACAGAAAAATAATTCATGTAGCGAAAGTCCCATTTCACTCAAATCGCTTAAATAACTCGCCAAATAAGCCTAAAGAGACATGTCGCATATTTCGTGAACTAGCTGGGGAAAACACGTCCAAACCTAGATAAATTTGATACATAAAGAAGGTGATACTAAGAATCCATCAAATTATCGACCAATATCTACTATCAACAATTTCTAAAGTTATCAAGTAACTGATTAAAAAACGTATGATGGACTTCTTGACAGAGCACAATATTTTCAACACCGCACGATTTAGCTTTTTACCAAAGAGCCGGTATGATGCTATGCTTGGAATAATTCAGCAACTTTTCAAGCATTATAATGATGGGAAAGCTACTGCGGCAGTGTTCTGTGACTTCTCGAAGGCATTTGACTGTGTTAGTCCTGGAGGTTCCAAAAATTAGCATAACGAAAATGGCACACATCAGAAAAACTAGAGTACTAAATTCGGGCGTATTTAGTGCTAGTTTAGTACGAAAAAAAAAATTATAACTCTATTTTTAAAAAAATTATGTGCATGTGTGCCAGCTTAAGATTAAGGTGGCACACTATAGTTGGATAAGTTCGAATCTTTGAAAATCTAGTACCTCATATTCAGTGCTAATTTAGTACATTCATGTCACGCCTAAAAAACTAACAATGATGTAATTAATAACAAAATAGCCACGGAAAAGTGCTAACTTAAAACTTGAATCAGCACACATAGATCGAATCGACCGCGCGAGAACGGAATTCGCATGCACGTATTTAGTGCTAATTTAGTACTTCAAAAACGTCGACCCGAAACAAACTAGTAGCACATCAGCACAGAGCTAACCCAAACTAACCCAAAATAACCCGAACTAACTCAAACTAACGTCCGAAATTAGCATTAAATGTGTTATAATTTAGTACTCTAATTTCATCGCGTCATCGGTGATAATGTTTGTTAACTTAAACACTAAGCCAGGCCAGCACACAAGTGCTAGCTCAGTGCTAATGTGATACTAATTCGTTTTGGGTCGTCGTTTCTGAAGTACTCAATTAGCACTAAATATGTGCTACACCAAAGGAATGTGGGTTCCTACGTTAGAACGTCAATGGTCACCTCACCTCACACTTGTTTTTGCCATATGTTTCACCCCCTCGCTCCTCATGCGGAAAGTGTCAGATTAAAAACGACGGACAATGGGTAGCCCTCTTTTATCATGATTCTCTTTTTTTTTACACAACTAAAACTGTTATTCCTATCATTAGTAACTTTTTTGCACTTTTCTCTGTTGCCTTCAAAATTCCTGATTTTAATTTGGGCAACTACACCTAATTTTTAGGATTACTCTGTTTGTGTTGAGGTTTCGTAACGCTAAAATAACTAAAAATGTATAATCTTACACTACACTTACCTTACTATTAATGTTTAATGTTTCAGTTAACTGTACCAAGCCTTTCCTTATAGATTTACCCATGCACATAGTTTTTAGGATTTTGAATTGAGGTATACCGTTGTCAATAAGTTTGTTGTGACTTGGTCGATAAAGCATGTTTTCTTTCTTTCTTTATATGCTAAGAATGAGATATTCAATGTAACGCATTTCAAACATTTCCGTCCCAAAAAAAAAACTGACAATCTTAAATATGAAATCCATACACTTTCAGGATTTCATCGCATAATATTTGTCATTTATTTATTTACATAACATCCTAAATTACTCTATAATAATTCAAAAGAAAAACTCAAAGTCTTCCTCCACTCTAAGGAAGACTTTGAGTTTTTCTTTTGAATTAAATTTCAACTCCACTTTGAGATATGGACTACTTCTTCAATTTAAAATTCTGTAATGGCTGGAACTCAACTTATTCTGTACAAAAATTAGTGAGACTATCTGAATCAGTATCTGGATTAGGAGAAGAAATTCTGCAGGGGTTGAACGCACACAGAGAAATCATTGAATCACATTTTATTGCGGGTTGTCGACAACATAGTTTTGGCAAACAAGACCTAATTAAATTTCTACCAAACTCAATCAAATTGTTGTCTCGGACACCCAAAGACCTTCGGAAATCAAACCTTAAAATCCAAAGGGGACCCAAGCAAATGAATAAGACTTTGATTGTTGGTATATGGAATGTACAAGGTACAGTTGGTAGAATACAAACAGGCGAAGAATCACCAACAGAAAGCAAAAAGGGAAAGGATCTGAAAACCTACGACAGTACGACTACTTCTGTAGCAAGGGTTGTTACCTTCGACCATTGAACACTCTCTCTCTCTAGACTAATAACGATAATAATGTGCTATAGAATTTGTTTGGTTCCAGAATGAGACCAGGCCCTCTTTCTCGCACTTATGAAAATAGAATGTTTATAAACCAGTCTGTTTATGTTTTGGGTATCAGAGAGCTGCGTTCGAAAACCTGGTTGTTGGTGTGGAAATTATTTCAGGGAGTGCATCTTCAAAATGTGAGCTTAAATTTTACTCTTAGAGTATTCGGTGCGCACATCAATACGTGTCAAACACCCTTCCGAACGCCGAAAACCATATGATTTTAATCCACACTTCGCCTTTCCGAACGGCAGCTGTGTGATTTTTATACGACACACCAGGTTCTTGAACGCAGTCAGCTGATTTGTCACAAGAAAGTTGAGAACACCATGAGAACACAAAACAATTACTACGTTATTGCCAGACTGTAAAATCTTCTTTAGAAGTAGGTACGTAGTTCCATTTAAAACCAAATTGATTCGTGATAAAAGGTATTGTTGTTTTAGAATTATTTTAAGTATAGACTTAAAAAGTCGCAAGTATATTTTTAATATTATTATAAGCAGACAAATTTGAAATAGATACTTTTCGATAGATGTACGATATTCATTATTATCGATTTATTGATCCCTCTAGCAGTTTAAAGCTCGATGGTTGTTACCAACTGGGAAGACTTGAGTGAAAGCCTACTTTGTCAAAGAGAATTGTACATTCTCTGGATAATAATAGTTATTTGTATACCAAGGCCGCGAAATGCCTTTTTAGCGTACGTAGAGAAAAGTTATCGTCGAGGCCGCTTGCGGCCGAGGTTAACAGTTTCGCGGTCATGGTATACACACTATTTTTTGTGCAACTATAAGAATTATGTAAAGTTACAGAAAAACTGTATGAATTTATTGAATTTGACAAGGATTTGACACATTTTGCATGTAAGGTATGGCGGCCGCGAAAGCTCATTTCGCGGACGGTTGCACAAAAAGCTTTTTTAATTCGATTTGAAACAGATTCATCACACTTTGTAGTTGCCTTCAGACTTGAAAATCCAAAATATTTTCATCCAGCATAAGATAATTCATACATAGGTACACCTCGACCAACGATTATTTAATTACTAAACGAAATTGAAAATACAGAATATCAGAGCTCAAGTTGGACCAATATGCGGAAGTGACCACTATTTTCTGAACGCCTTACCAGAAACGAAATCACTATCAGCAAGACAAATTATAAAACAGCATGATTGATTGATTGATCGGTCTAGGTACTATCTCAAAAGCATAGATTACGATAG